ATAAAGAAAGTCAAACTTCGAGCTGAAGATGAACAATATACAATTTTATCATCATATGCTCACGTTTACTATGGGTATATAATGAATATATATGTTGGTAGAATCAACAAAAATCTTAGGCACTACACTGTTTTACCACTAACCAAACCGATTTTCGTGTTTCGTTTACTATGTTAGCATCTTCAGGAGAAGATCAAAACTAAATATCCTATTCTAGTGTGCTGCCTATATACTAGGTATATGTTCACCCAACCGTGAAAAATACTAACCGTCAAGTTAATGTTTGTCATGAGTCTATATAGAGGGCTATATGGAATAGGTCCATTATTCATTACTCTATTACTATTCTTAAATATCTCTAAGCGTCTAATTTTCTAATATTATTAACTTGCTCAACTAATTTGAGGTTAGTAATATTATCTGTGTTATGATTGTGATTGAAGATATGTTCGGCTACACATGATTTATCTAACCTACCATATTCTGAATGTGCTATATGTGTTCTTTGAACCTTGTTCTTATGGGTCGCCTGGTTTGGCCTATATATGTTTTATCACAATCATTACAACGTATTTCGAATATTCCCGACTTTTCAAGTGTGTCCACTTTAGCTTTCGGATTGCCTAATGAATTGCCTGATTTTGACCCAGACTGATAAACGCTTTCAAAACCTAAGTCTTTGAAAACCTCATCAAGTCCCTTCATATACTTATTGGGATTGAACGGGATTGGGATTGTTCTAGAGTTCTTTTTGTCCACTTGAAAAGTCGTAGAATTTCGAAGTGTTAACTTGAATGAATGTATACGTATTAATTTATCTAGTATTTTGATATCATAGCCAAATCTTAGGAACATGTTCTTTAGTCATGCTAGTCGAGCACCCTGTACATGCGTAATTCTACGCATATGAATTTTATTAGCCAATTATCAACGGTTTGTATGTCATAGACAATTAAATTTCTCCTGTACAATGTTGACTATAGTGGATAGTGGATAATGCCTAAGGACGATGTTTCTTCTAATGGCATGTTGACTGTATACTTATGTAGGTATACCTACTGATCTACGGGAAGCTATTAAACACTTGATGATCACAAGTCACAAGTTTTACTCTTCACAAGAAATATACCTACAAGGTAGATTATGGCACGAAATTTCACTAAAAAATATGTCCAGCATGGATCATTAAGAGATATTTTTTGATGAAGTAATGGCACTCGAATATTATATACCATTTTTCTTGGTATGAAAATGATATCACTCTATATAATACATGCTCATACAGCATTTTTCTCGTGAACCCCAAACAAAAAAACTCTGCGATACCGCTAATGATGGATGCATCTATGGATAGCATGATCATTTATTTCGTTTTCATGTGTTTTAAATACACTCAGTTCCGAAAAAAGTGACGCACTTGATATGTGACCTATCTTCTTTAAAAAAAATAGTAGGCCGATTTTTATTTTTTTTTGTTGGTAGGTAATGCATTTGTCTTAAAAAAAAATAAAGAGGTGAACATTTTTTCAAAACCTCCTTGATGGTGGTGGAATAACTCGAACCATGATTTATTCTTAATTTTTGACTCAACCTGTGTGTTGATTGAGTAATGGTATACAAAGTGCTTGCACCCTATACGAAAGAGGCTTCTTTTGCGAGCATTTTGTTTTTTCATTCATTGATTTATCTCTAAAATTTTCCGAATTACAGCTTTTTTGCTGATACCTTACGCTTATCCCACAAATTAAATTTATTGAAGCATCAGAGTACTCAAAATTGATTGGGTTGTACTCTGGTAGGATCACATTGTCTTTAAAAAAACAAATGCCGTTGCCATAGCATGTTGTATGCCTCCATATTTGACCATTTTTCGTTTTGTCATTAATTGAGTGTCTTGTTTTATTGACTAAAATTACATAAAATGCCTCAAATAAATCCTGAACAAGTAGCAAGATTAGTTGCGTTAGTGAACGATGGGCGTAGTAAACGTTACGCCGCTCGTGCAGTGGGAGAGTTCATGAAGCAACTGCTCGTAGAGCAATCCGCAAGTACGAACAAACAGGAAGCACCGCTCGGAGGGTCGGTTCTGGTCGCCCCCGAAAAACTTCTCCAAGAGATGATCGCTTCTTGAGATTGCGGATTTTACGGAATCGATCAAATACTGCGGTAAATGTTCAGCAAGATCTTCGCCAAATTCGTGATGTTGCAGTAAGTAAGCAGACGGTATGTAGACGTCTGAAAGGAGTACATTCAAAAGCTAGGAGACCTGCAAAAGGTCCCAAATTATTGCCCGAACATCGTGCTGCTAGAAGAGATTTTGTTGAAAATTAAGGACAGTGGAATATTCCTGAATGGTCGAATGTCTTGTTTACGGATGAGTCAAAGTTTTGCCTTAACATGGTGGATGGAAGAAAAAGAGCGTGGAGAAGAACTGGTGAACGGTTTAATCAGAATTTGATAACAGAATGCGAAAGTTTTAATGGTGGATCCGTTATGGTGTGGGGAGGTATTTCAATGAATGGAAAGACACCCCTTCATGTTTTTCCGGTGAGGCAGTCGATGAATGCCCAAATTTACATCGACATTTTGGGGCAGTTATCTCAATTTATAATTTTGTGTTTAATAAAATGTTTTTCAAAATTATTGGTATCAGTTTATTTCATTAGAAAATTGTTTCTCGATAAATTCAGAAAGATGGTAATCTGTAAGGATTCAGCATAAAAAGCTGTAATTCTGAAAATATTAGAGATGAATCAATGAATAAAAAAACAAAATGCTCGCAAAAGGAGCCTCTTCCGTATAGGGTGCAAGCACTTTGTATACCATTACTCAATTAACACACAGGGTGAGTCAAAAATTAAGAATAAATCATGGTTCGAGTTATTCCACCACCATCAAGGAGGCTTTGAAAAAATGTTCACCTCTTTATTTTTTTTTAAGACAAATGCATTACCTACCAACAAATAGAGAAAAAAATAAAAATCGGCCTACTACTTTTTGTTTTTTCTTTTCGCGGCATACAATAGAAGATAGCAGTTGTGGCATAAAATTTTCAGCAAATTGAATATTTCAATATTGAACTTTGATTTTATGCAACCCTTATAAGTACGCACAAGAAAATGAAATTTGACCTGTTGGCTGGATTCCTATTTCCACCAGCTTTCCAATGAGAAGTCACAAGCCATAGGGTTGCGTTTTAGATGTATGACAAACTGACATTTATCATACCGTGCGTGTAAAGAAATTCTGAATTGAGAAAAACCCAATCACGAATCTGCGATTGAAGGTCTATAAAAATAACAAGTTTCCATCGTTCAAGTTTGAACCCCTTGATTGGGTATGAAAGTATTGAAAAGGAATATTCTCAGATATATTATAAACATGAAAAAATGGATACATTTGAATAAATACATTGAGAATTCGCATTCTCTATGTGATGAAAATATTGATTCTTTCTCGGCATATTCAACAGAAAACAACTACTTCCCTGGCTATATGCCACGACGAACATTGAATTATATCAATTGAACATACACGATAGGAATTTGAGAATAAAATGAATATCGTCTGAAATTGAGAATTGATATTCTCTTCCAGAATCGGATGAATAATATGATGAATATAACGATATAAAAAATATATTACTCACCAAATTGGTATGAAAATTGGAATGTATGGGAGAAATATACCAGTATACATACTCTGTTCTTGTTGAGTAGTGAATTTATCAAAAATCATTCGTATCCATGATGTTTGGGATATATGCACATCTCTTTCACATAGGTTAGATGATTTTGATTCGAATAAAATTCATTTCGAGTTTCAAACTCTCCTCAGTAACCTGAAGTCCAGTCATTCCTTCAGCCACATGACTGGAGATAAGTCAACAAATTTTCATTCTCAGATAGATGTCAGTTCCACTACCTATAGTTTTAGTTATATTATTATAGAAATGTGAAAATTGTGTATTGAATGAAGAATGGCTGAAGGAATGACTGGACTTCAGGTTACTGAGGAGAGTTTGAAACTCGAAATGAATTTTATTAGAATCAAAATCATCTAACCTATGTGAAAGAGATGTGCATATATCCCAAACATCATGGATACGAATGATTTTTGATAAATTCACTACTCAACAAGAACAGAGTATGTATACTGGTATATTTCTCCCATACATTCCAATTTTCATACCAATTTGGTGAGTAATATATTTTTTATATCGTTATATTCATCATATTATTCATCCGATTCTGGAAGAGAATATCAATTCTCAATTTCAGACGATATTCATTTTATTCTCAAATTCCTATCGTGTATGTTCAATTGATATAATTCAATGTTCGTCGTGGCATATAGCCAGGGAAGTAGTTGTTTTCTGTTGAATATGCCGAGAAAGAATCAATATTTTCATCACATAGAGAATGCGAATTCTCAATGTATTTATTCAAATGTATCCATTTTTTCATGTTTATAATATATCTGAGAATATTCCTTTTCAATACCATAGGGTTGCATTTGAAAAAACATGTCGAGGATGGTTTCAGCTACTCCTGAAGGGAAATATTCTCGAAATTGCTTGCAAAATTTAGGTAAATCATTTAAAAAATATTCCCCTCCTCGCTAGCGAATTTATTCCAGTGTCCACACTATATATATATATATAGTTTTATTCGATACCATTCCAGTATCTTGTTGAATGCCAAAGGTATGTTCTTGAAACATCCGAGATATTTAATGAATGCTCAATCACAATAGATCTTCTAGGTCGCAGTGATCGAGAGGTCTCCCAGCCTATACGACCCATCTACAATCTACAATCTAATGAATGCTCATCCTAATCAAATTATTCATTGCTCTTTTCCATCATTCAGAAAACCACTAGCATCTTACCACAAAGTAATCATATTCCTTTTACATTACAGAATCATGCGGTAGTCCCCACCTAGCAGCCACACCCCATGAAAACGATGAAATATCCCAACACGTCCCAAAGCTCGACCATGGCAGTGAACAACGGCTCCCACGTGGACGAAGTCGACCCCCTGTTCATATCCTCGTGCTGGGGCTCCAACTCCAATGAGTTCATCGACGCCAACAAGCTCATCATGGATGGCTCCATCACCAACCTCGGGTCGGACAAGCTCCTCCTGGACCCGTCCTTCACCCAGGACGACCACGAAATGGAGACCAAAGCGACCATTGACGCCTTGGACAACCTGTTGCTCAACTCCTCCAGCATGAACACCAGCCTGGCAGAGCTGAAGCCTCTGCCCCCGTTCACAGGCTACACGGCCAACCTGAGCATCAACGGCATCCAAGGCCACCACTACCACACCATATCCCAAAGAATCCCCGAGGAGAACAACAACTCGTACAACAGCTACAACGAACATAACATAGTGTCTAGTTCGACGTGTAACGTGGGCGCCGATACTAGTGACCAGGACGCGAAGAACTTCTTCTCTAGTGACGATTATGCGGATTGTGTCGATCCCGATTCGAAGTACGAGGACTGCAACCACTCCTCGATAGACTCGGGGACCCAAGTCAAAACGGAGATAGCCGAGTACGATATCTCTTCGATAGAAGACATAGCTGCTATCATAGGCTCTGCTATAGCCGATACTACAGTGCCGAGCAACCAAGATGGGGAAGACCCGTCTGGTTCTAGGGACAGCTGGATGGACCTGGACGCTCTGATAGACGGAGCTTGTGGAGACCAGCCGAAAGGCTTGATCATTACCCATGACGGACTATCAGAATTCGTGATACCAGGCGAATACAAGATACAGCAGTCTGTGGAGTACTCCAAAGTGCAGCCACAGCAGAGTGGATCGACGTTGCAGACTTTGCTGACGCACGGCTACATGCCTCTCCTGCAGAACAGGCTACAAAACGGTGCTAACGTGAAGCAAGAAGTCCCTAGTTCTACCTTCGGTGCTGATATGATTACGACGTCAAGTCCCCCAGCTAACGTGGTTTCCACCACGGACAACCTTCTGGTGACTGTGAATGGTAGGTTCCTGCCTCAGTACATCCACAGTTTGAACGAAGACCATAGGGTGCGGAGCCCAGATATGCTGGGACAGAATTATCCACATACCACCACCACTAACACTCCTAGCACGTCTAGAAAGTCTAGGTGCAACAGGAAAAAGCACCAGCCATCTTCCAGTTCTAGCGTATTTCAGGCGGATCAGAGTCTGGGGATGCTAGGCAAAGAGAAGCCGGTGCATAGGTGTACTATTTGTAATAGGGGGTTTTTGAATAAGAGTAATATCAAGGTGCATTTGAGAACGCATACGGGGGAGAAACCTTTCAGGTGTGACACATGCGCTAAAGCTTTCAGACAAAAAGCTCATTTGCTGAAGCACCAGCAGATTCATAAGAGAATTGGTCGCGATTGATGAAAAATTGTGTTTTTGAGCTCACAAAATAGTGGGTTGGTTTTTAAAGTTTCGTAGGATTTCCTAAATTACGTATACAGTTTTGCTTTTCCAACTTTTCAATACAAGGACAAACGAATGAAGGGTGTATGAAGTTGAATGATGTTTGTAGGACACACATGTTTTGAAAACCTACAGACTCATTTGAGATTCACTTCTCACTCTACATGCATACCATCTTTGGTTTGTGGGCTCAAAAAGACCGAGAAGACTAACAGATCCTTAAGAATACTGGTCAATATAATGCTTGAGGGTATCGTTTGTTACCCATATGACAAAAAATATGATTGACGATTAGTCTTTTTGGTCGTAATTTTCTGTCGTGCTATTGGAAAGGTACCTCAAGAAAACGTTTGAATATTTCTCACGGACAATGTGCAATGTAATTCAGATGTTTAGAGCTGCTGAAAATCAAAGTTTCTATGTATAGGCATCACATGTCTCAGCTAGAAAACATTATGGAAATGAAAGTCATTTTGGATAAGGTTCCCTGAATCATTCAGAACACAAATTTTGACTAATTCAAATATCTAATTTCCTATGAAAATTTGTTTGTACTATCTTCTCAAATTTGTCTCACTTCTATCATGTATGTATATATATACTTATATATAATAACGTATTTGCGCATTGTTGACGTATCAGTTTAATCTATTTATTCTTGTTGTAAAATAACTTCTTTATTGTTCTATTTATTTTGTTACTATACTTTTATTTATCTTTAGTGTTTAGAAACTTTGCCTATTTTTTCTGGCAACACTATATATAGAGAATTTTCGACAATAAAGCGTTTTTCTCAGGTCTCATTTCATCGAGTTGTAATAAAACATACTTAATATTTAAGTAAGGTATTTGTGTTTTCACAAAGCATAGTAAAATCTTTGGATGATTTTGAGGAAAATTCTTGGGTTGTATATAATATAGTCAATAATTTTGAATTTCACAATTTCGAAGATTTGAACACGTAAATTTTGATTTTGATTCTCAAAATCTTATGTCATATACGCTCTCTGTCGATGAAAGACAAAATTATTGACGACTCACCCTATAACATTCTTAATGAACATTTTGTATCTATATTTCTTTCTAAAACTTTCTCGAGTGGACCAATCACAACGAATTGTTTTTTCTTGTAAATTTTGTATTATAGTATAGTTTTATTTATTCAGCGTACTTTATTATTGTTTCTAAAGTTATTTGCTTTGATTTTTTGTGCATGTCTTAGACGAAAGAGATCTCAAACTGAAAATATCATTGATTCTTCTTAGTCATGAATTTGTTTCTGAAACTATCGAATCACCCCTGGTCACTGAGCTGGAAGAAATTCTTGATAGTCCCAATTCTAATGCTTTTCTAAATCAAAACAAGAAAATTACTTAAACCATGGCATTCCACATATCTAAATTCAAGAAATATGGCCTATATATGGGTAAATTTATGCAGTACCAAAATATTATAGCTGGAAAATACGGCAATTTTTTCGGGTTCAACACTAAATTGATTAGTAAGTAGTGTAGGAGCATATACTTAACGTATTAGGACTTCTAAGAGGATTAGAACACCTTAGGCGTTTTACAGTTTGCTCGAATTGGGTTTCAGAAGACTATTGAGAGTATTTTTCTATTCCAGTGTCCTCGAAGCTATTATGAGTCTTAGGGTATTAGAACTTTCCAGGTTATTGGGACTTTCATAATATTAGGACTCCTACAATATCAGGACTTCGTACGAAAAACTAATATCAACCAATCTAATGGAAATAAAGTAACTCAATTTTGTCTATTGAACAATCGAACGAACCGTATACGAATCGTGTCATCACGTGATCAATCGCGTGATATTATATAGCTATATAGGTCCAAATGTCAGAGGTGATGTGATGCTTTCTCATTGGGTGATTCGATCACGTTTATGAACGGATTTTTCGGCGTCCTTTTCTCAGTATTCGATTTAAATTGATTAGATAATATTGTGATAATCATGTATAGACACTGTACTTTATTATAATTATAAATGAACATGAACAAATGTAAAAAAATATCACGACACTCGCTTGGAAGTAAATAGATCTATATCTGGTTCGTAGTTTAGGTATACAGATTAATTTTTTACATAGCCTGCTAGCATTATTCATTGTTATTATTTTATTGTTGATTAAATTAATAAGTATGTTGTATAATAAACACCGATATTTTTAATACACAAATGATTTTTTTTCAATATCTCCAACCTATCAGAGAAGGAACTTTCTTCCATTCGGATTCTAGTTTGATGCTTACTTCAAGTTTTCAAAAAGAGTTAATGGATGAATTATATGCCGCACACAGGCCTCATTTGTTTTTTTCTAATCTAATAATTCTTGTAACAAATCATCAGTAGATAGAATAACAGTGTCTACAAATGTATGGTCATATCTCTGAAGCTGACTAATCGATATAAGACTTGTTGTTATTTGTCAATATCTGAATTGCCAGAGCGTTATTATCTAACCAATGAGAAAAAACCATTACAAACAATTCAGTAAAAGACCGCGAGCTATTGGCCGATTTGTTCCAATATATTGATTGCGTGAATTGCTTTCAGTTGATTGGTAACCCATCGGAATGTTATCAGAAAACACAGCAGTTAATAATAACCAATCAATGGGCATGCCCCAGTTAACACAGATTGGTCCTAGAGGTAAAAGAGGGCATCACATTCATGCCATCACACATCACATCCCTGACTGCAATCCAGTCAAGTCCAAATTCTACTATTAGCGGGAAATCGAAAAAAAACTTCCAAAATTGTGAAAAACAATGATAACAGAATACGATTTTTCTTTTCAGATAGAATTTGGCAAAATACATGCTTGAATGCGATGAATAATCATAATGAAAACTACTATCCTGGTGTAGAAATTTTTGAAAATTTGGACTTGTCCGTTTTTTGCCCCAAAATATCATATTGGAAATGAAGCACAGTGGTTCATGTCATTTTTATTATATTAACAAGAAACTATGCAACTACATGACAGAAGAGTCAGAATCGTATGATGCGTCCCCATCTATTTCTTCTTCGTTTTGTTGTTCTTGTTCCTCAGGATCTCCGAATGTCATTCTGTAATACCACTGGCATCGTCCACCATATTGGTTTTTGTTGAAATAAAAAAAAATGGCTGCTCCAAGATGGCGGACAAGATTTGGTCCGATTCCATTCAAAATTGGTAAGTGGGGGTTTTTGAGGTCGGAGATCATGATTTTTCTGTTATAATTCATCAATTCAAGATGGCGACTTCCAAATCATTTTTGTTTTTGTATGAATGACGATAACTCCGTTGTTATCAACACAAAACTATTACTGCGACATATCATCTGTAAGAGAAAAAAAAGTTATTTGTAACTAAGTCATAGTGAGCTATGACCTACATTTGGAAAACTAAAGTTGGTGCTGATATCTCAAATTCTAGAAGAGTTGGTATAAATTTCATATTTTATCGAAATCACTTTGAAAAATTGCCATGAGAATGTGGAATTCCTATTTGAATATTTTCATAAATAAAGAAGTATTAAAGGAGACATGAAAATGATCAAAATCTCTTTTTTGCGAAAAAAAACAGAAACGAATAGATGTTATCAAAATATTTTTTCACATTATAGTTGGCCCTGACAAACTCCACATTTGGTGTCATTTAACCGACCTCGTATCTCTCACCGTTAAAAAGATACCCATGGTGAGCATGGTAAGTGGGACACACTGTATAGCTATGACCATTGAAAAATACCTACTAGATTCGAGTGCCATTTCGTTGAATTTCGATTCTGAATAGTTGATTTGGGCTAATTATAACCATTGAGTAAGGGTCTAGAAAACTACATTGGTGAAAAACCACACTTCATGCCTTGGAAAGAAGTTTTTCCACCACTCTAGTTACAGAACATATACTATTATTTATTCCTTTCAAAGACGTAAAGTGTGATTTTACTACCAAGGTAGTACTTGTCAATAAAGACTCTGTTATAATAAACCCGAATTCACTGTTCTGATGCGAGATTCCCAGGAATATGGCCCTCTAATCTCAGTAAGTAGGTATTCATCAATTACGACTCGTATGGTCATCACTACTCGATTTTAATTGGAATTGAAAAGAAGCGCTTTCATAGTGGACATATTTCCATATTTCAGTTTGACAGAACTATAATGATTGAATATGTTTGGCTAGTAGTATAGTAGTACACACTCGCTCTACTGGAATGAAATGGTCTTGACTAACTGTCAGGAAGGCACGTTGGTGTGGTACACTGACGGTTCTAAGACTGATGAGGGCACGGGAGCCGGAATATATGGAGATAGACCCAGAACCAGGATGTGTGCTTTCTTGGGGAGGTATGCTTCACTATTCCAGGCAGAGGTGCATGCTATTGAGGCATGCCTGAGAGAGAATATTGTAAGAGGATACAGAGGTAAACAAATCCTCATATGCTAAGATAGTCAGGCGGCCATTCAATCTTTAACATGCAATAAAATCAGATCAAAACTGGTCTGGGATTGCCTTCAAAGCCTGCTGACCCTGGCTAATCAAAACAAGGTAACGCTTCAATTTGTGCCAGGGCATAAGGGAATTGAAGGCAATCAAGCAGCTGACGCTCTTGCCCGGCAAGGGTCTGCGACGTTGTTTATGGGACCGGAACCTGTGTTCGGTATCCCCAAAACCTCAATACGCGGCTGGCTGGCAAGGTGGATGCAAGAAAGACATCAGGCATACTGGAACAATGTCCCAGGACAAAGACACAGTAAACTGATGGTTGGAACACTGTCCAAAACAGTGACTAACGACATTCTGAGCCTAAACAGAAGTCACATCGAACAAGTGACGGGACTAATAACCGGTCACTGCCCCTTGAGGAAACATGCATCAAATGGGCATCTATACAGACGAACTTATATGCAGACTATGCAATGAGGAGGAGGAAACTGCCACCCAT